TGCTTTAGCGGAACCTATTGTTTATAAAAAAAAACTATATTTCTACATGATTTACATTCAATAAGGCATTCTTAAGGCTGTCTGTGCAGTTCCATGTAGAAACTTTGTTTACGCGTACGACCACCAGTGCGGTAAAAAATGTTTTACCAAGAACTTTTGCTACTGCATTTTTTGCCAAAAAAATTCACAGAATAGCTAAATGTAATTTTTTAAACTTCTAACGCTGTTTGTTTCCGAAAATAAATGCGATTGCTTGAATTTCGCTTCAGTTTCATTTGATCAACTTGGCACAATCTTTTCTGGTACTGGAATGGATTATTATCATTCCACCTTTTTTTACTAATTATGGAATTCTTCCTTAGCACAATGTATATTAGAAGAAAGTTTCGTCCTGTCTTTCCTTATAACATACGGAATTCCTTTTATGTAAACATACTCATGATTTAGCAAAAATGAGAGCCTATTTGCCCCAGTGACTTTAATAAGAGGGCAAGTTTTCTAAACCAAAGCCCTTCTGATTATTAAATCCACACAGTTGATCAAGGTAACCTGTCCAAACATACGCTAAATTATCAAGTTAAATTTCGTCCTGAAATTTATTTGCAGGATTCGCAGAACTGTAAGCTATGCCTACTAAATTAACGTATTTGGACCATTTTCAGCCAATTTCGGCGCTGAAGCGATGAAAGGTGCCGGCGATTTACAGGGAGAGCACAAGTGTTCATCATCGGAAAAACCTTCACTTTGCAATAACATCGGACCGATGCAGAGCGCAGAAATTGTAAATGGTGAAACCGCATCTGGTTCCCCGCGCACTGTACCTGACTGTGAATCACCCTCATCGGACAAGAAATGTAAGTGGATTGTTCGAAGCCTTCAGTGTGTTCATTAATCAGCAAATCCCCAAATCTCAGTATGTGTTTTATATGTCCTTTTGCACTGTGTGTAGCATATATTTTTCATAGTAATAGTTACCAGGATGGAAAGAATGTGAACGACCATCGTGCTTATTTTTGTGCTGAATATGTGAACTTATGCTTTAGTGGTCATATTAAACAGACTGAACAGTTTTTAGTT